GACTAATTTCATAGGCATATGAGATTATGATTAGAATAGTATCTCCAGGATGAGGAGCTATCTTTTCTAAGGGGAGAATTGGGAGGTATGCTCATCTATTTCCCCTAAGTATGGAGATATGCTCATCTATCTGCATAAAAAAGTGCAGCTAAAAGCTGTGTCCCGCACTGCATATCTTCCAAAACTAAAAAAATAAAACACTGCTCCTTCTGAGTACATTCTGAAAAGGACAGGTAGGTTGTGCTAGCCAATCCCAGAGCTGTCCCTGCCACAAAAAGTGGGTTGTAGAGAACATGATAAGCTAGCAAAGTGTATGTCAGTGCTCTTGTAGAACATCTCCCATTGTAATATTTCCTGGACAAACTAGAGATCTGACTGTTCTCCAGTCCCACAGATCATCCTTGCCTGAACAGAATCATACATGAACTTGATTCACTTCTGAGCACGCTCTGCCCTCACTTACTTTGGCATCAATGGAACTGCACTAGAAAGGAAAAGTATAGGGGTAGATTCCATAGAAACTTCATGTCTCAAAAAACTCAGTTCTACAAGAAAACTTGTGCACCTTGACATGGGTTGCTGCACTGTGGAAATGAATTGGTAGGAAATGTAAAAATAAGACTACCTAATAGTAGTCAGCTTACTTCCCAGGAAAGCACAAAACCCAAATGCCAACCTATCCTTCAAGTAGGAGATTCTAACCCACCTCTCATGCTTTGCAGAAGAGTGTCCCGACCACCACCAGTAGACTGGGGGATAAAATATATGTAAAAAGGAATGGAATTATAGGGGACCAGGCACTGACAATTACAGGGAGCTTTATCCTGGAGTTTTTGAGGACAGACCTGCATTGCCAGACCCTACCCAATGGCTCTCCATGGAAAAACGGATGAGCAGTCCTCATTCATTTTGGGCTGTGCTCCTTCTGCATGCAAACCTGTCTCCCCCCCCCTTCCTCCCACTGACACTGGAAGGCGGTTCTGCTGTATGTTGCAAGGTACTGCAAAGAACAGTGTCACTTCTCAGGTAATTAGCTTTTATGGCCACAAACTCCCCTATTTCTCTCTCTCAGAGCTCACCTTCCTGCTGTGAATGTAAAACACTGTCTCAGTGATACACACCTGCATGGAAATGCATATACATGAACTCCCAAGTAAGGGATAACTGCTGAAAAACATAAGTGGCTCTCACGAAACAAAGCAAACAGCAGCCACCTTAATAATCAATTAGATGGAGCAGCCACCTGATGCAGCCTATTTGGAGAAGTCCCCAGCTTCCATCAGCTTTGCCTGTGCAAGAGCAGCTGAATAAAGTTTGTGTCACGGTCATCTTGACTAGGCAAAACACCCTTTTCTGCCTCTTGACTCAGTGATGCTTTCCCCCTTGCTCTAGTTCCTAATTATAGCCATGAATGTGGATAAATATCATATCCAGTTTTAAACCCAACCGGGTCACCAAACTGTGCGCTACACCCTGTTCTGCAATTAAACTACTCTGTGAAACACCTCAATTATAATTAAAGAAGCAATTATCCCCCTGCTAAAGGCCCCACAAATCACACATTTCAATGCAAAAGTTCGCCTAGCAGCTCTACGGCATATTAACCAATCTTACATCTCATTTGCTTTTTGATCTATAACCTATCCCAATGAGCTAATTTGATGTGACTTAGTGTCTCTAACTGTATTTTGTCATGTGCAAGATGATGCTGGCATCTTTCAAGTAACAAGTTAAATGAGCTAAGGGGTTAATTCTAATAACTCTGTCATTACTGTTGGAGCATCACAGATTAGGATCCTTCCTGCCTTCTCCAGTTAGGTTTGAAAAATGCACACACAGAAAAGAGTGGAATTGAAATGGAAGCTTCTGTTGCTGCCAGGAAACTGCAACTGTCTGATTTCCACTGAGCATGAGGCTGGTGGGTCAGACTACTTATCTCACCACTTCATCTTATTTTTCTCCATTGAGGAAAAGCAGAAGGCAGAGAAGCATGGAGCTAGGGCAGGGTGCTGCTTGGTTTTATATCCATATTTTTTTTTTTTTTGCCACACGAGGAATACGTGAGTTTGCCTCTTCACCCCTCAGCTATGTGTGGTAACCTCAGTGCAAGAGCACCTGTGCTGATCCTTCTGCTGCTTTCCTGAGCCATGCACTGGAAAAGCCAAAACATTTACCCAGGTGTTTCAGAACCTCTAGGCTAGTTCAGCTTGATGTTGGCTGTAAAACTGAGACTGGGGAGGCATGCCACAGTGCAGCTGGCACCCATGCTGGTTGGGGCTGGTGGGTAGGGGTATATGACTGCAGAGAAGCTGATCTGGTTTTCCCAGAGACCTCAATTCCTTACTTTGTCCCAGGGGAACAAACAAGATGTACTTTGATTTGACCTCTGGCCATGCGGCTGGTTGTATTTTAACACATCAACTTCCTTTTGGATCTTGACTTTTTTTTTTTCTTTTCCTAGTGTCCATAACCGGAGACTACTCTAGTGCTTGTCATGTACTAGTGGATCTGCGGGACAGGTAAGTGTTGCCTTAAAAGCTTTACCTGCCCGTCTCTGTCTTTGTCCTTCTTGCCCTTCCGAGAAGCTCTATGCTGCTATGTGGTTCAGTTTTGCAGTAACAGTATGATCTGCTCTAGCATTGATCCATAAGAGCTTGACATGGTTAATTAAATATGCTGGGAATTATAAGACTGAATTCCCCAGATACTGAAAAGAGCACAGAATTTATCCCTGACCATGCTTGTTCCCACCACTTTGAAATAGCAGGGAAAAAAATCCCAAAAAAAAAAAAAAAAAAAGGCAATCCACAATGAAGGGGGAGAACTGAATAAAAGAGAAAAAGCAAGGGAAAGATGCAGGTACTTTGAACTCCAGCACTGCACTGCATTACACTGAAGATCTATTTTGTACAGTTTCACAGTGTAAGCTTTTCTTCGTCTGTTTTGGTGTTAAATCCAGTGACTACTTCAGAAGCCAGTAAGTGAAAAAAAACCCTAAACCAAAACACAGTGCCCAGAGTGTGAAGAGTCTGACGCACGTGGTCACCAAAGCATTTGGAAAAGCTGATCACAGCTGCATTAACCTACTTTACTTGGAATCAAAGCAGTCTTTCAACAAGATGGAAAATAGCCTCAGACTTCTGCTTGCCTTCTCCGAAGTCCTTTTTTATAGTTACCTGTACCATCATATCAGAAACTTCTCCAAACAAATAAATGAAGTCTTAAACAAAGAACTCATTCATCTTTAAATTAAAATAATCATGTAATCCTCCAAACTACCAAGTTATCTTTCATCTTTCTGCTTTTCTAAATTTATCTTACCAGCTTCAGCAAGTGGCTGTAATAAAGTGTCACATTAAGGTATTCATATTCATTAGTGTTCAGGTCTTTGTTCTTTTAATAGTGTTGGAAAGAATCTACAAAGAGGCTGTATTAGGCGGCTGTCCAATCTGGGTGTTTGATCTCCTTCTGACTTCAAAAGTCAGAAGAGGAAAAAAACCCAACACTGAGAACAGTTCTTTTGAATGTCAGATGGGGGGAGTACGATTTCTGAGTCTGCCAAGTGTTAATTGGTGTCTGCCCTGACCATGGTACAAATAAGATTCAGAGCCAGTCAATGTACCATCATGAAGAGCTATTGACAGAGTGAGCAGGGTACTGGGAGGCAAGAAAAAGCACAACTGTTATGATAGCAGCTCACAGAGGATTTTTTCAGAGATCACTTTCTATGAACCATGTAAAATTGTGCTGTTTGGGTCCCAGCCACACGACTGGGTATAACAGACCCTTCCGAGGGAACAACTGGACTGGCTGCTGAAATTTCAGAGGCGCTTGTAATACTGCATAAAAACAAACTATCCGTCATCATTAATCTCTCTTTCTAGCAAAAGTAATGAAGTTCCCCAGTACAACCCTGCCCTGCCTGAACAACAAATCCCATTGCAGAAACAACTGTCATGGCACAACAACAAGTTGATTTGATGCAAAGAAGCATCAGAAAGGAAAATAAAACCCTGCTGCTAAGTTCCTGAGGAAACCCAACTGATTAATACTACAGTTGTCAGTAAGCCAGCTTGGCAGACCTAAACACTCCTTACAGTTTTGAAGGTCTTAAAGGGGAAAGAAAACAGCCTAGAGAACAAGAAAATGGGAAAAATTTTCTAATTATTCTTTCTGATGTTTGTGGACATGTGTCTGCAATTCCAATTAAATCTAAACTTGGGTTAGATGGGGAGGTAACAGTTTAAGCTTCATCTCCTGAGAAATCAGCCATCAGTGCTGCATGACAACCACTTTACTACTTAGCCATGACAGTCTGACTTATCCTAATGCAAATTGGCAACAGTTTCTTATGTGCATGGTAGAGGAAAACCGAAGAGAATTCAGATAGGGGAATTACCGTCATTAGCAATCAATTTTTCTCTTAACAGCCGCAGCGGATTCAGGATTTCAGAGGCCCCCCTGTGACTCAGAAATCCCCTTTCTGTGAGCTGTGAGTCTGAAGCTGGAGCCACCACCGCACTTAGAGAAGCTGCTGTTCAAGGGGACGCTCGCTGCTGTCCTCAGGCACAGATTTTGCTGAAAGGCTGGCTGCCTCCTGCAGTGGAGGGCAGGCTACCCACTCTGAGTTTACTTAAATGCCAGTAGGAAGACCAGATAAGTTCCTGAAGATGGATTATTAGGCAGACACATCTCCTACTTGCCCAAACTTCATGCTGCTTCACGTGGGAGCCTGTATTGGACCATGGAGATGCCAGATATAATTGTGATTTTTCAAGGGGAAGAAAAAAACTGAAACCAAACTCCCTGCAGCTCTGCCCAGCAAGGTACCATAACCCAAAGCCATTAATCAGTTCCCAGTCAATCTTGTCTGTAGGCAGCAGTCACTCAGCTCTCCATTACCACCTATTCATCATGCCATGCTCTGTCACTGTACGTTAGCCACTGATCAGGCCTTAGTTAGGATGTGCAAGTGCCAGGACACTGCTGTTGCTGCTCACCTCAGCTACTGGGATGCCTTCAGGGGGACGGCATTGGAGCAGGACCTCTTGCTCCAGGGACACTTCTTTCCCCAATGGCTCCTGCTCAAAAGTTTTCCGGAGATCTGGGGAGAGAGAAAGAAAAAAGTATTGATAGTACTAATAGCTGGTAATTTAAATTACATTTGATTGCCATACTGAATGAACGCAAGAGACAATGAAAACAGCAGTTCTGCTCCCTGGAAAGTAAAGCACTTAAAAAAGGGTGAGTCATGTTTTTGCTTCATTCCAACATTAAGCAAAGATTTCATAGTGGATTTATTATTTATATTATGGTACAGCATATGAATCCAGTGAGGATCCAAGGCTTCACTGTGGAAGGTGACATAGAACAAAAAGTGCAACAAATCCCTTCTTCAGAAAATTTATGTTTGGTAAACTACACCAGTGAAGTACTAAAGAAAGTTATGGAAAATTAAATAAATCTGTAAAACTAAAGCATATAAGTTGAGTTGCCTTAAATTCATAGATGAAAATGCTCATGCTGTGATCTAATGTACTATTAGTTTATAAGCTTTAACTTTACAGCTTTAGCTAATTTGTCTACACCTTATCATTATCCTTGTAGCACTAAGTTATTATTCTTATTATTAATGTAATAATAACAACAATCATATTAATTACAATAAAAAAATAGCAATCATAGAATCATAGAATCAGACGGGTTGGAAAGGACCTCTGAGATCATCAAGTCCAATCCTTGATCCACTACCACCACAGTTGCTAGACCATGGCACTAAGTGCCACGTCCAGCTTCATCTTAAAAACCTCCAGGGATGGAGAATCCACCACTTCCCTGGGCAGCCCATTCCAATGGCTGATTACCCTCTCTGTAAAGAATTTCTTTCTAATGTGGAGCTGAACCATGCTTGGAGCCCTCCACAGCACCATAGAAATGCAGTAGGGTGCATTTCTCCAGAGATTGGACCAGTTCATTATACTGGAAAGCTCTGAACTCTGGCTTTCTCGTACTCTTCTGTAATATCTTCGCACAGGTGGTAAAATGGACTTCAGAAGTTCCCTCATTACCACTGTCTCCGTGTTTCTGCCACGCACTGCCATGCTCTGTACTGTGCCAGGGAGGACAGGACTTTGGAGAACTGAGCATTCAGCCCCAGTAGCTACTGGGGATATTTCTCTCTGCTCTTCGTTTCTGCTGCAAACGGACATGAGGCCATGTTCAAAGTCACATCAGAGAGCTGGCCCGACTTCAAAAACTTTGCAAACCAGTTATTTTTATTTTACTTTTTGTTCTGAAGTCAGACCAGTTTCTTACATCAGCTCACAGTGAGGCTGCACAAATACTTGTGTCATATTGGAAACAAGTCATAGTCATACGGGAACAATTTAAAAGCCAAATATTTCATATTTTGAAGCCATAACCTGTGACTGCTCTGGAAAACAGATCACTGAATTGAACCGGTTAACAAATAAACCATCCAAAGAGTTATTTTTCATCTAGATTACCTCCAAGATCTAATTTAGAACTGACCCCACAAGGAACTGCATCAGCACTACCAAAACGCAAAACCCAGGGCAGGGAAATGTACAGACAGAAAAGGAGATGGAGTGGTTGCTACCAAAATCAGCTCCTCTGAAACTCACCTCTGGGTAGCATATCTACACTTAGCCTGTATTGGGAAAATGTGGTTATTCAACTATCTGGAATTAAATGTCAATCTAATTGTACCATGGAAAAGCTCTGTCACAGATGGAGATGATCATTTTAACTTAAGCTGATATAGTAGTAAACTTCTAACATCTTTAAACCCGAGCATTTCACAAGTGAAACTGAGGCATCTTCCCCTGCAGCACAGACATGAGAGAAGCAACCCCACACTTTACTGCTTTCCCACCATTGACATTCCTAATCCCTCTAGCACAGAGGGTAGGGATACTGAGAGGCCCTCTGATAGGACAAGATTTATGGCCACAGCTAAAGGCACTGAAAGATAAGCTTTGGTAGATCCCGCTGTGGCAATACAAGAAATTACTGTCTCCAGCTCTCTGTTTGTTTTGGAGTTACTCTCTGTGAAAAGGAAGCACGTGCCAATGTCACAGCTACCTCACCACAAAATCCACCATTTTAACCTCAGTTGTTGCTGAAGGGGGCTTTACCCTACAACACTGGATAATTTACGGCAAAGAGGAGGAGTAAAAGTACAGATGCAAATGTTTCTTAGGATGACATGCCAAGTTTCACCAGACTGTGCCTGTCAGCATCTTTGTCACACTGGAGTTATTCCAGACGAATGAGGCTCGTTCATGTGAGAGCAACCACAGCAAGACAACTGGCCAGATTAGGTCAGATTTCTGTACATCGCTCCCAATACATTGCCAGATCCAGCATCATCAGCCCTCCAGCTTCATCCCACTCTCTCTGACAGGCTACTCAGGGAAAATTTGGGTTGTATGGCTCAATTTGAGTAAACCCAAATCCTTCAGGTGCCCTGTGGGTAGAGTCATTCAAAAAACACTGAGTTTGTAGTGATGTACTTCCACACTTCAAACATGGAAATGAGAAGCTCTTTCAGGAACTGGCAGGTTTCTTGGGAAGTTACATTATTCCTTTGGCCCTTCCTGTGGGCTTGATAAGTATCCTGGGCACACATAATGTCAGGTTAATGCAATTTGCTTTAAGTTAGCAAACAGCTGGGGTTGTGTAGCTAGCAGTACCCATATGATCATATTACTGCTAGTTCCACAGGTATTTTCAAAAGAAAAGAATTACTTTCACATCTGGTACACCTCAGTGCATTTTAGCAGGTACACACACGTGCACACTGCAGACAATTACTGTGCTCTAATATCATGGCTGAGGGCAAATGGGAAAATTACCATCACAGTAATAGAAGCATATAAGCACAGTAATAAACAGTATATCAATAATAGCTTTCAGGTGTTCAGATATGGAGGGATGAAGACAGTAGAGGTAGATTCAGTAGATAATAATCTGATTTTTTTCCCAGACATGCTGATTTACTGTTCTGCCAATCTTCCTGAAACATTTAATAGAACTCTTATGTTCTACATTGCCTCACATGCACAAAAACCACACCTCCCATAAAGCACTTGCCTTTAAAAAAACCTCCAAATTTTAGTGTATACAAAAGTAAATAGCATTAACCTAGAAATGTGTAATAACAGTAAAAAAAAAACAACACTTTAACCTCCTTATTATTAACAGCTGTAATTTCTGCAGTGGGAATAGCTGGAATAGTTGCAGCGGGGCTGCCACAGGTGAGATGAACTCTGTGGGACCCTGGGTCTCCTGGCTGCCCCCACACATGGTGCCTTGCTGTGTGAGGTTGCTTTAATGATGCCATTGGATTCAAGTGGGTCAGTGATCCATGAACTAAAAATACACTAAGTAGAGGCCTTGACATAAGAGGCAGAAACGTTCTCAAAGGAGCCATTAGATACTACTGAGTAAATTATACTAATTTGGGGGGGGGGGGAAAGGTGCATAATTGTTTACTTACAAGACTGAGAGCTCTTATATGATATTCTGTTGGCTCCCTCCCACGTGTTCACAACTTCATCCCACCACTTCTCACTGCAGCCATGTCACCTACAAATAGCTACAGATGGCAGCAGTGCAGGGCAGGTTTGACCTAAGCAAGCATAAGGCTGGCTGGTTGTGACATGCACAACTTAACAAGATGGGGTTTTAAGTGATAAAGAAGCAGAGGGCCTGGACAAACATCTTCATCACCTGCTGTAACTATCATGAAACCACACGCTGGGACAGCACTGGATTCTGAAATGACTGGGTTTTTTCTATGGCCCTTGCTATAATTTCATTGTTGATAACAATATCCTTCTATTTCTTCAATCCTCAGTTTCCTTTGCCATGTAACAATTATAGTCATCAGGGAAATCTCACACTGTCAGTCGGGACTGGGTGAGCTTGCTAATGTACTAAGGGAATTTGAGAAAGTGAAAAATGTTATCGAAAATGCTCTGCTTGGGAAAGATCCAAAGTGTCATATATGTTACAACTCTTTGTGAGCAAGGACAGAAGGGATACATTTTTCCCAGAGAACATTAAGAGACTAATAGAATACATCCCAGTTTAAAAAAAATAATTTAACAATCTTCAGATAATATGCCTGAAAAAGCAAATCAATGAAACATTTGATCCATTCTGGATCAGGACCCCTCTGTCTATGAAGAGACAATGTGCATTATTAAAGCCTCAGGTTGGCAGCAGTCCTGTTGCTGAGACACCAAGAGAGCACCTTCTCCACCCTCACCTTTAATAGAGGAAGACACGAGAGAAAGGCAGTTGCATTTCATTTCCATTATTATTTTGGTAATGTAGAATAATCCTGTATTGTCTGTGTTAGCAATACTCTTCCTCCACTTATACAGGTAACATTGCTGCCAGAGCTCATCTCTCCAGAGTGGAGTGTGCCTTCAGTGATGCCGAAGGGTCCATCTTGTCTCTCTCACCAGCTCTCTCACATATCTCACTAAGCTGCAGGTAGGGATTTCACTGCCTGGCCCAGGTAACAGGCTGCACCCCCATCAAGCACATAAGCCCCACCTCTAACTTCCCTTCAAGACTATCTTCCTAAAAAGAAACCAAGGAGAATAATTAAAATTCTGGTCTGCCACCTTGAGTCAAACTCTATTTTCCTTACTAATGCATAGTCCTAGCAAATTCAGAGGGGGCTCCTGTGGCATGTATCGCAGCACGTTTACAGCATACTTAAGAACAGACTTTCCTTCAAGACTTCTGAAATACTCCTTCACAATCTTCTCTGGTAAGGACATATGGCTACATTCAGAGCTGCATTGAAATGAGAGAGTTTTCACAAGTATAAAACTGAAATAAAGTAACGGGAAATAAGAATCTCAGTGTACATCATATTGTTAGCTTTACTCCTGAATTGCTATGCTTTTTGGGCAAAAGGGCATTAGATCTACATTTTGATGCACTGCTAAATGACTTAATTTTGTTTAATGCATTTTCATCTTACAAAAGCGTCAGAAGTTGCATTTTTGTCTGCTAAAGGTAATAGCTTATACAGGAAGTCATGTCATTTCCCCACTTCCTTTT